CACTACAGATCAGCATCAAGAGATGACCACTTGCAATCAATTTTGATGACAAAGAACATTAACTTTGAATTTCAATTAAAATGTGTATCCTCTCCCAAAAGAATTCTGTTCTTTACTCAACCATTATATTTCACATCTTGCATCAGTGTAAAAATTTTTCCAACGCTGGTTTGTCTTTTCAATGCACATATCCAAGGGTATGTGATACACGTGACTGTGTGTTGTGTGTATATTAAATTTTATTTTTCACTAAACTTCTGCTACTTTGTCCGGCAAGTTCTTACTTATAATTGCCTTCTCTAAAACAGGATGGCAAAGAAAAATCACTAATTCCAACACCTGGTGTCTCATGAAATTTTTTTTTTTTTTTGAGACAGGGTCTCACTCTGTTGGCCAGGCTGGAATGCAATGACATGATCTTGGCTCACAGAAACCTCCACCTCCTGGCTTCAGGTGAGTCTCCCGCTTCAACCTATTAGGTAGGTGGGATGACAGGTGTGCACCACCATGCCCAGCTATTTTTTTTTGTATTTTTATTAGAGACACAGTTTTGCCATGCTGCCCAGCCTTATCTCGAACACCTAACCTCAAGGGATCCATCTGCCTCAGCCTCATAAAATCTTAGTAATCTTCACTGACCAGTGGCATTCTAATTCCCACTCAACCCCCACCCCCAAGATTACATATTAATTAATTGCAGTTAAATCTCGACATCCTAATTTTTCCCTAGTATTTTCTCCACATTGAGCACAAAAGCCTGCTTTTAAGCAACAGAAAGGCAGAAAAATTAAAATTCTACAATTGGCTAAAATGTGGAGTTTTGGTTTTAAGTGAATTAGGCAGCTGCCAATACTTGCCTCTCATCTTAGGCCTGACTGTTAAGAATAATTAATGTGAGCTGGACATAGTGGCTCATGCCTATAATCCCAGCACTTTGGGAGGCTGAGGTCAGCGGCTCGAGGTTGGGAGTTCAAGCCCAGCCTGACCAACATGATGAAACCCTGTCTCTGCTAAAAATACAAAAACTAGCCACGTGTGGTGGTGCACACCTGTAATCCCAGCTTCTCAGGAGGCTGAGGCAGGAGAATCACTTAAACCAAGGAGGTGAAGGTTGCAGTGAGCTGAGATCATGCCACTGCACTCCAGACTGGGTGACAGAGTGAGACTCCATCTCAAAAAAAATAATAATTAATGTGGACTCAGAGCCCAAAATGGCCTTTAGCGGCTCTGTGTAATACCGCAAATTGTCTGTGATATTGTGTATATATAAAAATATTTTTCTGAGAAGGCCCATGGCTTTCATGAATTCAAAAAGCATAAGTAAAAATTCATTTCAGGTACACTGGTAAACAAATAGCAAGTACAATGAAAAAAGAATGAAGAAGAAAAGCGACATAAATAGGTGAGAGCTAGACATTTCAGGAATAAAGGACTTTTTTTCATTGCCCTGACATCTATTTTGATAGTACAAAAGCAAGGAAACTGTTAGTGTCTCAATGCATATCAAGTCAGTGGCACCAAACCCCACTGATGGTCACTGTGTTGTTCATTGAAACATACATGCAGTGAAACACAAAAAAGGCAGCTTTATTTATGCCCTTTGGCAAAGCAGTGAAAACAATCGATTTTATGAAACTTCAATCTTTGAATACATCTCTTTAATAATCTATATGATAAAATGGAAAATGCCCATAAAGCACTCCTGCTGCATCCCAAGTACTATGGTTGTCACAAAGGAAAGCACTCCCGTGACTGTTTTAGTTCCAAGCTGACCTAGACACTTTTTTTCACTGAACACTTTTACTGGGAAGTACAACTGACAAACTATGATTCTTCAGACTTAGGTATTTAACAGATACTCCTGAAAATGAACAAAGTGTGCCTGTCATTTCAAGGAAAACAACTGACAGTACTTGCTGCCAATGATAGAATTCAAGCTTTCAAGCTACAAACTGAAATTCTGGAAACCTTGTAACCAGCACCATGAATCTGACAGCTTCTCCATAATTAAGGACTCTTCTGATGAGATCTTGTAACATTAACAAATGTCATCTCTGGATATTGTATTACATAATAAGCTGTTTCAACATCTGGACAGCTGTGTAATTCAGCTGAATCAGTATTAACCAAATGAACAACACATGCGTAAGAGCCATTTAAAGTACAAGAAAAATCAATGGATTTTAATGTGAGACCAAAAAAAATTCATGGATATAATTTCAGATTACACATCTCTTTTAAAATCAACCTTTAAAAAACCACCACTTGCTGATTTTTAGTGTAAACATTAGAGAATACACACAATTATCTAAAAGAACTATTAAAATACTCCTCCCTTTTCTAAATACATATCTGTAGAAATACAGATTTTCTTCATATTTAACCAAAGCAATGTATCAAAACCAGACTGAAACAAAACAGAGATGCGAATTCACCTGTCTTCTGTTAAAAAGACATCAAATTTATGTAAAATCGTGGCACTCTTCTCATATTTTTGCTTCAGAAAAGTTATTTTCACAAAAAACATTCATGCTAAAATGTAGTAGGTTGCTACTTTAAGTAAAGAATAGAAATTTTATTATTTATTTATTTATTTTGAGACAGAGCCTCGCTCTGTTGCCTGGAGTGTAGTGGTGCACTCGCTGTTCAATGCAACCTCTGCCTCCTGGGTTCAAGCAATTCTTGTGCCTCAGCCTCCAGGGCAGCTGGGAATAGAGGCATGTGACACCACGCCCAGCTGTTTTTATATTTTTAGTAGAGATGGGGTTTCACCATGTTGCCCAGGCTGGTCTCAAACTCCTGGCCTCAAGTAATCCACCTGCCTCAGCCTGCCAAAGTGCTGGGATTACAGCTGTGAGCCACCACGCCCAGCTGAAAACAGACATTTTAAAATGCTCAGTTTTAACTTCTAATGCAATATTGTTAAATACCACATATAAATAAAAGCTCGTTTTCAATTCTTTACATATATGGAGAATCTGAGTGTAAGCAGGTTTCAAGACTCAAAAGTATAAGCTACACTGCCCTATAGTTCCTAGCCAAAAGCAAGATACGACAGCACTAAAATCACTTTTCACCATTTTATCCTACCTAGAAATACCTTTCCCTCTCAGCACTGGTATGTCAAACCAGGTTATAAACTCTGGATAAGGGAAATAAAGAGATTGTTTTACATACTTACATACTCGCAAGCGTTCTCAAAATTAGTATGGGGAAGTTCCAGGGTTCAGTGGCACAAAGAGCTCTCTGTTACATATTTCCTAGCTCAGGTGTGTACTAAGCAACAATGACGGCTAACATTTTCTGACCTTTAATGTGCCAAGAATTGATTGAAGGCACTTACTATCACATATGAAGAAGAAACTGGGGCAAAGCTGAAATACACCCAGAATCTGTGTCCTTAATCATTATATAAGATGGCATCCCAATGTATCAATATTTACTAATATTTCTTGAGTAAACACTTAACTGAGTAAACATCTGATTATCATTCAGGATTCACATAATTCTAGTAGTTGGGGGTCCGAAATTCACAAAGCTATCCCTTTCTGCTATTACCTAAAATCAGACCTCACTCTTTCTCACTGACAGGTTTGCAAGTTTCTCCCTCAGAAGTCTGGTCTTGGCCGGGGGCGGTGGCTCACACATATAATTCCAGCACTCTGGGAGGCTGAGGCAGAGGTTAAGAGTGTGGGACAATTCTTGCCAACATGGTGAAACCCCGTCTCTACAGGTGGATCACCTGAGGTCAGGAGTTCGAGACCAGCCTGGCCAACATGGTGAAACCCTATCTTTACTAAAAATACAAAAATTAGCCAGGCATGGTGGTGTGCACCTGTAATCCCAGCTACTCAGGGGGCTGAGGCAGGAGAATCGCTGGAACTCGAGGGGCAGAGGCTGAGTGAGCCAAGATTGTGCTACTGCGAGACTCTGTCTCCAAAAAAAAGGTCTGGTCTTTAATTCAAATAAAAGGCTCAATTCAAACCATATAGATGAAACAAACAAGTACCTATAAAGATTCCTTCTTGATTTACTATGAAAAGTTTTAAAATAAGCTATTACAACTGTTAGATATGACATTAGTGAAAGCTATGTAATATCCGATATCCCTAAGTTAGCTTTTGATTTCTCCAAATCTGGGGAATGAGAGGTAGGACTAGGGGGAAGGTTAAAATGGTGTCAGACCAAATACAGTCATGCACCAAAGGGATACTTCCTGAGAGATGCAGGGTTAGGTGATTTTGCTGTTGTGCAAACATCATAGACTGGACTTACACAAACTTAGATGGTATGGTCTATTGCTCTTAGGCTAAAAGCATGCTGCATGGTATGTTACTGTACTGCATACTGTAAGCTACTGTAACACAATGGGTGCTTGTGTGTCTAAACATAGAAAAGGTACAGTATACATACAGTAATAAAGATAAAAATATTTTTCTTTCTTCAATAGTAAATCAACCTTTGCTTAATGCTAACTTCTACTTCATAAACTTAAAAATTTTTAGAACGTTTTGACTTTTATAGTAACAATTAGCTTAAAAAACAAAGACATACAGCTGTACAAAAAAAATTTTCTTTCTATCCTTACCCAATAAGCCTTTTCCTATTTTTAAAAATATTTTTTACTTTTAAACTTTTTTCTGTTAAAAAACAAAAAGACATATACATACACATTAGCCTAGGCCTACACAGTCAGGATCATCAATATGACTATCTTTTACCTCCACTTCTTCACTGGAAAGTCTTCAGGGGCAGTAACATGCATGGATCCATCATCTCCCAGTATACCAACACTTTTTTTTTCTGGAATGCCACTTGAAGGACCTGCCTGAGGCAGTTTTAAGTTAACTAGTTTTTTAAAATAAGAATACATTCCAATGATTTAAAAAATATATAGTAAATACACAACATAGCTGTTTATTACTATATAGTAAATACACAACACAGCTGTTTATTACCATTATCAAGTTTTATGTACTCTATATAATTGTGTGTTATACCTTTTTTTTTTTTTTGAGATGGAGTCTTGCTCTGTCACTCAGACTGGAGAGCAGGGGTGCAATCTCAGCTCACTGCAACCTCCCAGGTTCAAGTGATTCTTCTGCCTCAGCCTCCTAAGTAGCTGGGATTATAGACATATGCCATGAAGCCCAGCTAATTTTTGTACTTTTAGTAGAGACAGGGCTTTACCATGTTGGCCAGGCTGGTCTCGAACTCCTGACCTCAAGTGATCCGCCTGGCTTGGCCTCCCAAAATGCTGGGATTACACGCGTAGGCCACTGTGCCTGGCCTGTGTTATACTTTTACACAACTGGCAGTGCTGTAGGTTTACACCAGCATTACCAAAACGTGAGTAATGTGTTGCACTATGACATTATGACTATGATGTCACTAAGTGACAGGAATTTTTCAGTTCCATTATAATTTTACAGGACCACTATCTTACATGAAGTCCACTGTTGACCAAAACATCATTTGATGCAGCATGTGACTATACTCAAAGCAAGAAAGTGTTTTGGTCACCTTGTAACTGACCAGACAGGAACTTCTGTTACTCAGGGATATTCTGATTAACATTCTTGGAATAAAATTCCTTTATGGTGAAATATGCTACGTTAAAACTTCCCAATTATGCAAGTGTGGGCACGCATTAAAAACCAAAGATGTGCACACAGCATCAATATCTCCACTTGTCTTTGCACAGATGCAGGTAAATTTGGGAAGGGAGGGCTCTCAGGCCAGTGATTTTCACGAAGGTTATACATACTCTCATAAATCACTGTGCTCTACATGTGAAGAGTGCAGAGGCAGAATAAAGGACAACCATCCCTTCCCTTTTTCCTACTGTATGACAAATATCAAGGGCTGACTTCCTGTATTAAACCAGGAAAAAACTGGCTACTGGTTATTTATACTTGAAAAAGCCTTGAAATGGCTATTTAAAGCTGCTAGAAGCAGTGGCTGCTACCTAAGGGCATAAATTTGTATCCAATCACAAATCCTAGAAGACTCGACTGGCAATCCCCATCTACCACACCACTGCTAAATCTATTGACATTCACAAACCATTTCTTGCCCTTGCCTCCCTATATGCTACCAAGATTTCAGAATAACCTTTTAGAAATACATAACAATTTTAGTAAACAATTCTAAATATCTTAACATTCCTTCATACCTGTATTATTTTACCTCTATTAGAAATGTTTGAAAATGGAGCTGGGCACCTGTAATTCCAGAACTGTGGGAGCCAAGGTGGGAGGACTGCTTGAGCCCAGGAGTTTGAGATCAGTGTGGGCAACAAAGTGAGATTTTGTGTCTACCAATTTTTTTTTTTTTTTTTTTTTTAATTAGTGGTATATGCCTGTGGTCCCAGCTACTTGGGCGGATGAGGTAGGTGGATCACTTGAGCCCAGAAGGTTGAGGTTGCAAGTGAGCCGTGTTCATGACACTGCACTACAACCTGGTGACAGAGCCAGACCCTGCCTCCAAAAATAAGAAAACAGGTTAAAAATGCATGCCATGCCGGGCGCGGTGGCTCAAGCCAGTAATCCCAGCACTTTGGGAGGCCGAGGCGGGTGGATCACAAGGCCAAGAGATCGAGACCATCCTGGTCAACATGGTAAAACCCCGTCTCTACTAAAACTACAAAAAAAATTAGCTGGGCATGGTGGCGCGTGTCTGTAGTCCCAGCTACTCAGGAGGCTGAGGCAGGAGAATTGCCTGAACCCAGGAGGCGGAGGTTGCGGTGAGCCGAGATTGCGCCATTGCACTCCAGCCTGGGTAACAAGAGCGAAACTCCGTCTCAAAAAAATAAATAAATAAAAAATAAATAAATAAATAAATAAAAATGCATGCTATTGGAATGTATACTCTTTTAAAAAATAAGAAATGTGGAGAATAAGAAAGAAAAAGACCTACTAGATGCAACTATCTTCCCCATTAATCCTGAATCTTAACATAACTCTATCTCTAGACACAATTTAAATAATGTATAAAACCCAAGAAATCTTTATCTTGGATTTAGATATTTACCAGAAAACCTCCAGGTCTGCATTTAGATAGCAAAATAAAAACACCTCTGGACTACTTCTTCAAACTGTCGGTCTCCCTTACTTGCTGAACTAATTCAGAGAAAACAAATATCAGTAATCTCTGAATCAGTTAAAAAATATGTCATGACCTTTATGTCTCTTCCAGTACCTCATCCAGAAGAATCAAGAGGAGAGATAAAATATTCCTTAAGTGATCTTTCCATTCCCCAACATTTTATTTTTCTATCAAGTCTAGCTGTGGAGCCACACAAAACACTTCCCCTACAACTCGAAGTTGTCAGGAACAACTGGCACTTCCTTCAAACTGCCTAACCTTTAGACTGCTGGGTCAGAATCAAACAGTAAAGAGGCCTTAAACAATCTGGTAGTTCCTCAAAAAGTTAAACACAGGGTTACCACGTGGCCTAGAAATTTCACTCCCAGCTATATACCCAAGGGAATTGAAAGCATATGCCCACAAAAAAAACTTGTACACAAATGTTGACAGCAGCACTACAAGTATTTACAATAGCAAAAGAAGAAAACAATTCAGATGTCCATCAACTGATGAATGGATTAAAAAGGTGGCATATACAGACAACAGAATATTATTCAGCCATAAAAGGAATAAAGTACTGATATATACTACAACAAAGATGAATATTACAAACATTAAAAGAAACCAGTCACAAAGGACAACATATTGTATGATTTCATTTGTATCAAATGTCTAGCATAGGTAAATCTAAGAGACCAAAAAAACAAGCAGATAGGTGGGGGCCGGGAAAGAATGGAGAGAAATGAGAAGTGCCTGTTACTGGGAAGAGGGTTTTTCGGGGTTTGTGTGTGAAAACGTTATAAAGTTCACTTTGGTGATGGCTGCACAACTCTGTGATATACTAAAAATCATATAAACAGGCAAACTGTATGGTATGTGAATCACATCTAGATAAAGCTGTCATTTTAAAACGGAGGGCTTTAATGTGCTTTCATTAACCGATTTCACTTTTCAAATCCATTCATTTATTTTTCAACCTTCAAAAAGACACTAAAAGTTGGACGCGGCAGCTTGCACCTGTAATCCCAACACTTTGGGAGGCCAAGGCTGAAGGACTGCTTGAGCACGAAGTTCAAGACCAGCCTAGGCAACCAACATAGGGAAACCCCATCTCTACCAAAATAAAAAAAATTACCCAGGCGAGGTGGTACATGCCTATTGTCCCAGTTACTGGGAAGGCTGAGGCAGGAGTATCGCTTGAGACCAGGAGGTCAAGGCTGCAGTGAGCCATGATCAAGCCACTGCATTTCAGCCTGTCTTGAAAAGGAAAACTTAAAAGTGCAGTCTATCAGCCTAACTAAATCTTAAGAGTACTATACATGTTTCACAAGAAAGAAAAGGGAAACATTGGCACTAAAAGATCACAGCAGTGTCACAAATTCAGACATCTGACAGGTCAAAGTTAAGTGAAAAATGAATAATAAAAAAAAAAAGGTACAAACACATCTCAAGATTTTCATAAAACTGTAAATGGGCCAAAAATATAACACAATCACATTCTGCTATGGAACTTTACACAATGCTAATATTCAACAACTCAGACTCTAACAGTCTGGTTCAGCTTTGTGGTAGTATGTTAAAAAATACTTTAAGAAAAACTTTTCTATCACACAGCAAATCGCTTTTGGGTATTTTTGAAGACATTTCAATGACAAGGGAAAATGTTCATGATGTAATACTACCTGAAAAAACTAACTCATAAAGCTATGTAAATAATATTCTAATGATGTAAAGTATGTGAATTTTACATTAAAGTACGTTAAGTATACTTTAAACAAAAACATATCAAAATTTCAACAAAGATTATCTCCGGACTGTGGAATTACAAGGGACTTTTTTTTCCTTTTAAAATCTATAAGTTTCCTACAGTAAGAATGCTGTCCTTTCATAATCAGAAAGCAAATTCTAAACCTAGTTTCATATTACCACATATATGATACATAATAATAGACATGAATTAACTGGTACATCCCAGTTTTTAAATACCTGGATCAAGACTGTGGTCGGGAACAGAGCCGGCACTATCTTATTCACCCTGCAGCAGTTTTCCATACTAACCTCCCCAACCCACTAGATTCTACTCATTCCACTTCACTCCTCCAAAATAAACTTGGCACTTACAGTTTGAAGTTCCCCAGGTGATTTTGCTACACTCCCATTCCACCCCCTTAACGCCTTTGAGAACCACTCATCTAGAAACTTTTACTGGATTTTCCAGGATACTCATACAACTAGCTTCAATTTACATGATCAAAACACTATGATAAGCCACAAGAATGTGACCACCAACAGGGTCACTACAGGGGATAAAGCAGAAGTCTTTGGTTTTTAGTTCTAAGCAAAACTTAATCCAATAAAATATATCAAAAGAATATGTACCATCCAAATAATACAATCAATATTTCTGTTTTACATTAAGTGTCAGACATGTATTAATATGTCCTAAAGACTCTTTGAAAATATCAAGGTTGAGCGAGGTGGCTCCATGCCTGTGATTCCAGCAATTTTGGAGGCCAAGGTGGGTGGATCACTTGAGGTCAGGAGTTCAAGACCAGCCTGGCCAGCATGGTGAAACCTCATCACTACTAAAAATAGAAAACTAGCCAGGTGTGGTGGCGTGCAACTGCAGTCCCAGCTACTTGGGCAGCTGAGGCAGGAGAATCGCTTGGACCTGGGAGGCGGCGGCTGCAGTAAGCCAAGATCACCCCACTGCACTCCGGCCTGGGTGACAAGAGTGAAATTCCACCTCAAAAAAAAAAAAAAAAGTTTTATCAATAATATGTCCACTTAAAAAAGAAAAACAAAAAGCAACTGATAAAATGTAGTCACCAAAAGTGTATATAGCTAATCAGTGATTTAATATAGTAAAAAAGAAAAAACAATCAGGAATATGTTGTGGGGCTACAATCAGCATTAATGAGATCAGGCCCTGCTGAATGTTTTCCCCTAATGCAAAAGA